GAACTCGTCTAGTATCATGACGCATGACGTTTGTCCGTACGTATAGCTCGGGAGCTCAACGCTCCAAGTAGCTCCGAGTGTCACACTCCCGTACTGGAAAGCGGCTCTTTTCTCGCAAGTGTTAATCCTAGTACTCATAATAGCGAAATTCGCTCTTTTTTAACATTCCTTCGACAATTTGACGTTCTATGCGTGAATCAAACGTCAAATTGTCGAAGCAATGTCAAAAAAGATCGAATTTCGCGGTTATGATAGTACTAGGCTAGGCTAGTACTAAGGAACACAATTTTTCTCAAGATTACTCTGTTGTGCATGCCAAAAGTTTTTTTTCCGCACATTCGTAGGAAAAAAACGAATCATCTTAGTTTCAGGTTTCAGGTCTCTACAAAATGACAGAGATTATCCTGTTTTCAATCCCTAGTAGGACTGCTTATTGAGCTAAAAGTCTCTACACTGCTATGTCAGCTGCATAACCCAACTTTTGGAGTGAATTTAAAACATTTAAAATCGACGAAAAAATCAAATAACGAGCACAGCCTGAATCGCAAGCCTTCGATCGAGGTCTGCGGGTGACGTCATGACTATTAGCATCTGTGGCGACGTCACTCGCAGACCCTGCCTGCTCAAGAATTGGTGAACCTACGCCTTATTAGAAAGAGCAATCCTGTTTACGATTGTTGTATAAAAATGTCGAAAATTCCAACAAAATCCAGAGGCGTTTTCTCGCGTCTCAAATGTTTCAAAACATTCTTCATAACTGGTTTAAGTACTGCCACCATGACGTCATAATTTCTCGGCGCGAGAAAATGGTTTGAAAATGTGGATTGGATTGTATTTCGAAACAGTTTGAACCAAATTTGACGTGACGTCATAGGTTTATCGCGAGAATGTACTGTTTGAAAACAGTTTTGAACCAGTTTCAAAAAAGTGGACGCGAGAGAACGCCTCACTCTTTCATTGCACAAACAAACTAGCATCTGCAAAAAGTTTCTTTTTCTGCGATTGACAAGAAATGTAAGCATTTTTGACCGGTTGACAGGTCGCAAAACTCAATATTCTGGTATTTCAATTATGTTTCAATAGTTGCTAAGCAATCAATGAATAACAATACGGGAAACACTTTTCCGGCCTAGGCCGGTAAAGTGATTTTCGTATTGTTGAATAATTGGAACTAAAAGACAAACATTTAACAGGTATTTAACCGCAGAAAAAATAGTATGTGTATTTCGGTGGAAAAGCACATTCTCGGCCTTCGGTGTTTGCCGGCCTCGGCTACGCCTCGCCCGACAATGTGTCACTTTTCCACCTAAATACACAATATACTATTCTGACGATTGAAAAATAAATAATTCTCGTCAAAAATAATTTTCTGTAACTTGAAAACATTACCTACATATTTTAAAAACTGCTGATTGCATCACTCGTTAAACAATAAACGTTGTCCGCACACTGACCTGTCCGCACATGTTAAGAAAATCTTACCCAAACAAAATAATATACTTTGATGTCAATTTGGCAACGCAGCACTCCTTGCCTTTACCTTTAAGAATTGTTTTGGGGCTAGCACCAAGCTCTTGTCTATCCCTCGTAGGATGGTTACATGTTTACTGCCGAGTTTTATGTTGTGTTTTATGTTGTGATGTCATAGTATGTTAGCCATGATCGCTAAAATGTAGTATCCCAAGTAAATACAACATACTACTGGGTTAAAATTCTCGCTAAAATACGCCTATAGTTACTTAGTAAATTTTTTACAAATCAACGGCCCTCCAAAATATCTTATTTCAATCCAACACACCATTCACCACAGAAAAAAAATTATGATCAAAGGTAGCGCCATCTCTCGGGGACTTTTCAAACTAAAAAGTTTTATATCGAACTTTGCACAATGCCAAATTCAATATATATAATATTTTTTCATATTTTATAAATATTGAATTTTGCATGGGTCAAATTTAATATATATATTTTTTCAAAGTTTTATATATATCGAACTTTGCACGGTGCCAAATTCGATATGTATAATATTTTTTCAAGTTTTATAAATATTGAATTTTGCATGGGGCCAAATTCAATATATTTATTTTTTCAAAGTTATTTTATATATATCGAACTTTGCATGCTGCTAAATTCGATATAAATATTATTTTTTATTTTAAATATATGCAAAATAGTGGTCATTTTTGTCTATATATTGTTTTTCCTGAAAAATATTTTACATATAAGACGAAATAATTATGGAACATATGGCGCCCCATACATAACCATGGTTATTGTTAATTTAATATTCTCAGTAAACATTGTTTCACGAGGGTTCATACTTTTTGCCTTCCTTTTTTAACAAATGGAAATTGACTGAAACAAATCAATGACGTCAAAAACGTTTGTTGGTTCTTAAACCAGAAGTCATTCATTTTAATTTGTCAAAAAAATTGAATGTGTCATATGAATTAATCTACGACAACCCTTTTTTTCCAAATTATGGCATGTTCGATGTCAAAAGTATGAACCCTAGTGAAACGGACCTTACTTATTTTTGTGCCTCAGAATTTAGGGACTACATATGGAGCAAGACTCGGAACAACTGGCTCAAGAAAGTAGGCTATACATATAGTAGTCCCTATCTCAGTCATATAAACTGCTGGCCAAAAAAAAAAAACGGGACAAGCAATTTTTAGCACCATATTCAATTTGTAATAACTTTTTCAAAATTATGTTTGTTTTAATGAGGTTTTTGGTATTCGAAAGCCCATGTATATCTCATTAGAAATTTTTTTTTATTTTTTTATCAGAAATGCATTTCTCAAGTAGGTAATATACAGGGTGAATAATAAACTGATGCAAAAGAACAAAGTTGGATGTCTGCCATATTTCTTTTCTCGGATTCGAACAGCATTGCAGGTTTCGAAAGATTATTTTTTTAAAGGTTCCACGACACTTTTACAGTGGGGGAAAACGTTTCACAATCCATTAAAACGTAAGCCACATCGTTTCAAAATGGTGGTGCTAAAATGGATCTTCAGGAGGCTTTGCAAAAACGATCCGTCCAAATCGTCCCGAGATATTGGCCCAAAGTATCGCCTAACCAATTTTGAAAGCAAACAAAAGGCATATAAACCAATTTGAATAGATTTTTAAAAAAAACAATTATCATAATTTGCCTAATTTGAGGTTTATGATTTTCTTGACCCCTGGTATAATGTGAACAGGGCCATCTGCAAAAAAAGCGAGCGAGTCGTGGAACCTCTAAAAAAAAAAGCTTTCGAAACCTGCAAAGCTGTTCGAAATCAATGCAACCGTTTTCAAGCTACAGCCTTTTAAACATTGTGCTTACAAGATTTTGCCAACTTTGTCATTTAGTAGTGTATCTGCTGCCAAAGGGCACTTATCGAAAAACTGGCCAATACGTCCGGACATCCAATCAAGTATACGGAAATCCGAAAAAAAAAAAAATTGCCAATATGGCATCAGACATCCAAACTTTTTGTACTTTGCATCAGTCTATTATTCACCCTGAAAACTGCATTTCTTCGAAAAAAAAATATTTTTCTCACGTGAAATCCAACATGGGCTTTCGAATACCAAAAACCTCAAAAAAAAAAAATAATTTTAGAAAAGTAATCACAAATTGAATAGGTGTTAAAAATTTCCCGACCCGTTATTTTGGCCAGCAGTTTAATTCTTGCATTTTAGCCCGGTTGTTGGGTAAAGCCTGTAGTGTATAGTATAAATAAATAATAACAATTATTAATAATTATCGTAAAAATAGTAATATTCATCGAAAATGCGTTCCATGGTGTAATAATGCATATTGGACATTCACACATTGGACACCCATTGGGTATCTCAAAAACTAGTCATAGGATTGAGTTGAGCCCATGGTAGTTATTGATCAGAAAGGTCAGATCTATAACATACTAAAATTTGGTGAAATTTGACAGCGGTCAGAAATCCCATAAAAAGTGTGCGGGGTCCTTTCTGGTTTAATGAATAAAAATCACCATGGTTTTTGTGCTGATCGCTCAACAGTTATCAATCTTGCCCCTTATCATAATAAAATGAAAGGTGCCTTGGAGGAATTCAAGCAAGTGGATGCTATTTACACCGATTCTTCTAAGGTGTTTGATCGCGTCGATCACTGTACTTTTCTCAAAAGATTGCATGATATAGATTTTTGTGAGGCGGCTCTTGGTTGGACGAGTTTTTTTTTCAGGAAATCAGCACAAGGTTAAAATAGGGTCATATCAGTCTGAAACAATTTTGGTTAAGTCAGGTGTCCTCAAGGGGGGCACTGTTCGCCAATATTTTTTGATTTATTTAGTATCGAGTCGCCTATGATGAGGTCGTCTTCTGCAATGTTTCCTATCATCTCCTGACCAGCTTCTCCAATAACGAATAATTATTATTGCAATATTTCTTTCCAGATTTCTTCACGTTCGTCTAGATGCCGATTTCGCGAAAGCCAATTCCAGCCTCATGATACGTCCCCTTTAAAAACCACTCACGTACTTAGTTGTTGATAATTCGGCGATCGTTGAACTTTTGACATTTTCACTCTTTAGTTTACAACTACTGTCAAAACTGTTTCATCAATCGAATAATTTGAACAAATCGATTGACAAAAGAGAATAAAATCTATTTTTTTTACGGATTTGACAAAAACTACACACCCCAGGAAACCGTACAATGTACCGTTACGATTCTGCGCAAAACCTAAAATTTGTGCGTAGAATCCGAAATTCGTATACTTAGGTACTGAGTGTTTTCGAAACCGTTCATGGGATGGTTTTTGACCTGTTGGAACAGACCTACTGTGTACATCTTTTTTGCTGAATTTTTTATCATGCAGTAATTTAATTCTTTCATATTTTAAATTGTACAAATTAAACAGCTTGACGGAATAATTCAAAGAAGCTCACTGTAATACAAAATGTAATGCACATATTTTTCCAAATTTGTATTATTTCAAAACTGGCTTCTCAAACGAAATATATTTTTAGGGGAGCTTTAAATGAAATTCATCGCACTTTGGATCCAGAACGCAAAAATATCTTCGTAAGTAGTAAAAGATTCTATGAAGTTATGAGTCACTGGACTAGAAAAATGATGCTAGCAGCTGCCCAAGGAGAAGAGTTTGATAAATCCAATAGGTAAAGTTTTAAAATTTTCCAATATGCACTATAATCTGTGTAAAAATAATTCGTACGATTGAAGAAAAATTTTATCTATGGGTTTGGTAGAGGAAAGGCGCCTAATATTGGATACCTACCTATTTTAATAACGTAAATGTATAAGTGCTTCTTTCTCATAACCAGAAGCTGCGTTACACCTTAAAACCCCACTTATAAGTTTGCAGAGTTCTATAATAGACTATGTTGTCATAAACGACATTTACATGAAATGTGTGTGTATGAAAATTATTTTCTCTCTATCTTAGGTGCTGAATTATCAGTTGAAAGATAAACATTTTAAATATTTCCAAATGGGATGACTAGTGCATGTTATAGAGTAAATTTATTTGGAGTTTGCATTGGTAAAATCTTTTTTTTTTTTTGTCCAAAATTATTATGACCTAAAAAATTTATGATGTGCCTAATATTGGATAGCTAATTGATAGATACAGGTTCCCAATATTGGATATCCGATATTAGGCAATGCTTTGAGATCAACTGCAATAATATATTGTTTACAAAATGGCTACTTAGAGAAGACAGCAATGGGATAATGTAAATATGACTAGTGCTATAAAGTTTTGAAATTATCAAAAGCTTTTGAATAAAAAAATGGTTTCCTAATATTGGATACCCTATCCAATATTAGGCTACTATTTTCTAAATTGACAAAATTAGCAATTTTTTAAAAATATTTCATTACTTCCTATAATAATTTTTTATTCTTTTGCCGACCATATTAACTGATAATATATAGTTATGCTATAATTCCATTAAACTAGCACAAATGCAGGGATGTTTTTTTTGATACAATTTTACAGTTCAAAAAAAAGTATCCAATATTAGGCGACTTTCCTCTAGTTTTTTTTTATTTGCTTTATTTTAACTTCAAGCGGTCTTTGTTTTGAACTTTATTGTCGTCAACACTTGGCACTGAAGTGATCCATTATGTTTTATTTTTTTATGTATGGGGTTTTTCGATTTTGTTCGTTTTTTGCTCGCTAGATGCAACAGCGTCAATCAACGCTAATATGTTATTGTAATTAGTATTACGTTTTCTCCTCGATAGATGGCTGCATCATCGACCTAGTTTGGGAATAAGCTCCGAGAGCCGAATTTATTTATAATTTCCACTGATTTGTCTGTTTTACAGTTTTTGTTCAATATTATAAATTTAATTATTGCATAAATGAAATACAAGTACAAGTAAATATACGGATAATCAAGTTGATGTATCTGCTCGTTTACACAAAAAAAGTACTGATTAACTTGTGAAAGGAAATATTGCAATCCCTTGAATATTAAATGTTGTATGCCGTTTGGCCCCGAAAGTCTTTTTGTGCTTTGCTCAATAGTCTTCCTAATGACATAAATAACTATTATTTATTTCTCGATCATTTGCAGTAAATTTAATTTAATTTGACTACTACACACAATGGCAAAAATTGTTCTTCGTTATAGGATTGGGTACTACTTCGCTCACCTGTAAATGACAGATATTAGATTACAATAACATCCCCTAATGACTGAACATCCGTATCTGCTAACATCATGCAGTTGAATTTTAGGTAACTGTCTGACTTGACTTACCTACATATTCTTCCTACTATTTTAATTCTTAATAAAACTGTAAACTTTTTCAAATGATTAGAAAAATATAGCCAAAGTTAAGCCTTCTCTTTCTTCTATATACACATTGTTTAATTTAATTCCTAATGTTAAAATGTTCAAAATTTTTAGGGCCAAGTTATTAACAAATTCCAAAATCCCCTCAGCAAAAGTTGTCAAATCTTCAAGTCAATGTTAGACAGAGTGTTAGAGTCATCTTTGTTTTGTTCAAGCAGTTCAGTTGATCAATCGTTCAACTTTAATTTTACTTATAATCTTTAATGCAGTTATTTATTGTAGTTTGGTAAATGTAGATCATCATGGGGAAGTACCGTTAAAACACTCTACTCCTAAATCTTATTCAAGAAACAAAGAAGTTAAAAAAAGTAAAGATTCACTAAACATGTCCAATGTTTCCGGATATAGCTTGTCTACTAGTCAATATGAGCAACCAGGTGAGTAATATTCCTGTATTTTACACTAAATATATAAATACATAGCTCATTTTTTTTTTCTGAGCAGAGGTAGACAACGAAGAAGAAATAAAAAAACTTGAACATCATTTGCAAAAAATGTTCAATGAATTGACTCAGACAAGGGAACAGTTGACTGTCAATGAAGAGCTAAACGAAATTTTGCAACAAGATGTGCTGAAGCTGCATCAAAAGTTAAATGCGTAAGTATCAAAGTTTTAATTATACCACATTCTGGGTATGAACAATCCAGACATTTAAGCATCAGCTGTACAGGGGTAGGTGCCTACAATACACTTACATAATTTGAATACTTGGAATAATATCTTTTTCATCTTCAAGCAGTCTATAATTTGAAGTTGAAGTGCTCTATTATGTACGGGGTAATTTGTTCGTTTTTTTTCTCGCTATAGGCAGCAGCACCAATCAGCGCTATTATGTTCTTGGTAATTAATTTTGCGTTTTCTTCTCGTTAGATGGCAGCGTCAAAGACCAAAACGCCTCCATTTTCTTGCTTACCTCTTGCTAATTTTAAATATATGTATCAGTACAAACTTTAAAAGCAATTATCTCAAAACTATAATTTCGCACATTCATAGGCCCCGATTCCGAACCCACGATTCGATATTATCGTCTATCGTCAGGTACATACTTTGCACGGCTTGACGATAGACGATACTATCGAATCGTGAGTTCGGAATCCGGGCCATGGTTCTAGCATGGGACAGACGATATGTAAGATCAAAACTGGAATATGCCAGTATAATATGGAACCCTACAACAATGTATCACAAAGACATGCTAGAGAGAATTCAAAAAAAGTTTCTGAGGTTTATGTTTTTCAAGAAATGTCGTTTTTATCCTTGGTATTGTGGAACTTACGAGGCGTAGAGAGTTAAATGATGTGTTGTTGATATTTAATATTATCACGATTCTGGGGTGCGTGACAGAAATCTTGGGTTCATTTATTCCAAAATCAAAGTCCAATTAACACAACAATAATTTATTCCACGTTACTGCACACTCTTACACTAATTACTTCACTAATTAACTCAAACAACTTAACTCTTTACAACTCTTAACAATAATCACTATCTGAAACGTATCACAGCCAATCTTAAACTTAAAAACTACTAATTAATACCGGCCTTTATATATCCGTAATTTATTCTTGTAAAATCCAGAATAAACGCGATAATCTCTTTTTCTGAAAAAGGCAGTAAATTCTGTATTCCAGATTTGATTGCAAAAGCGTCACAGTATAGTCAGCCAAAGCGTAAAACATGCTACTGTACCTGACTTACTTCATAAGATATGTTTTAATGTACCAGATATAAGACTGAGACGAAGAGATGATATTTTTAAGATTTCTAACCCTTACTCTGTTTCTCTTTTGAATAGATGTTTGATGTTTGCATGGTGTCAATGTGTTTATTACGGAAAACCCTGATTTTGATATTTTCGTTGATGGAAGGAAAAAACTATGAAAAAATTCATTATTATTATTAGTATTACTATTATTATTACTATTATACTGGAATGATGCTTGGAGAGAAACTAGTAGGAAACAAAATCAAATTGATATAGGGTCGCCCATTGAGACAGATCAGACATAATAACTAATGTCGGTTAGAAATTATCATTATTTTACTTTTTCTAGTGAACAACAGATCAATGAAAATCTTAGAAAAGATAAGCTGGATAATGAGAAACTACGGGAAGATCTGATTGAGGCTGAGGCAAATATTGAAGCCTTAAAGAAAAAAGTGGCAAGGTTCCAGAAAAATATCTCTCACTATGAGAATCAGTTGGAACACACCGAAGATGAGGTAAGACTTTTTCATTCAGTGCAGCTTCTCCCAATAAAATACCCGCGTTCATTTCAATTCAATTCGATTCACTCCACTGACAACTCTTCTAGAAAATAAGGGTTTATATTCCAAGGAATTCGACCCTGAGCCAATTAACCTAGTTTTATGGTGAGTGGAAACCAGCTACTTATCCGTATTTGTTGTTATGTCATCCACATAGACAAGGAAGAGTAGTGGCCCTATTATAGAGCTCTTTGGAATGTGATAAATCATTAGCCTCGCCTCTAAGACCACACTCTGGAAAAAGAAGAAACTAAGACCCCTAAGTATACCCACCTTATTTTTGTTGGAAATAAATAAATAATTTGTTGATACCCACTGTCTGAAAAATCTACAGGACCCACAGTTTTTAATATTGCTCATAAAACTGTTTTACATGTATAAGTTTGTATTGTATAAATTGGCATGGTTTTTATGTAAGTGGTACATGTATTTTTTTTTGTACCTACTCACTAATTGGGCACTGCCTCTAATGTAATACTGATAATAAATAAATAAATGTTTCCAGGGAACGCATTAAGCTTAGTTCTCTTGGATCAGAGTTTCTAGCATTGCAGATACGGAATTATTTCTGCTTCTTCGTTTCGCGAGAAAAAAACTTTAGTTGAATTACTTAGTACTTTAGTAGCTTAAAAACGATGTCAAGTTTTCCAGAAATCAAATAAAGATTTTTTTAACTCCTGGAGAGATCTGCTGTGTCATGTAGTGTATAACTTCAGCGATCTCCTCTAAAAAAAGATATCTAAATCATATCTAGAGTTTGTCTATGTGTTCTTAAGTCTAAACTATCTGAGTACTGTAGCCAGGACAGATAGCAGCAGCTGTTTTAGTCTATGCACTGCATTGTTGTTGGACACATTTTGGATAACATTATTTTGGCATTTTTCTACCCTTTTTTAACCTAGAATATTGTCATTGCCTGAACCCATATTTTGAAATGTTTATTTTTTTATTTACTGTCAAAATTTTGTAGGTTACACCGGGAGCTCAAATTGGCGTTAATAATTAATTAATAAAGAATTTTCAATACTTTTGTACCCAATCGTTGAATTAGTAATAACAGGTAACGGTCTCATAAACTGACCGCCTAGTTCACCCGACCTCTTCCCATTGGATTTTTCCATATAGGGTTATAGACCGTCAGATAGTGACAGATTTATAGGTGCCCCATTTTCGCATACAAGCCTCGAAGAGGGTTGAAAAATACATTGATTTTGAATAGTGTCACAACTACCCGCTTTACGGGGGTGACATGGGGGGTTTGTAGCTTTGGGGGTTGATGGAGAGAAACTCGCTCAGGTTATATAAAAATATATGCTATATATTTTCCCAAATATAACCTTACATGTATGCTAATCCTATAAGATACATGACCCTTCGTACACTGGGGTCCTTATAGGGGGCCACACGTCAATTCTGCTTGGGGGACTGTAGATAAGTTTATCGTCCCCCTTATGCCTTGTCCAGAGGGGCGTTCCCAACGAGAGGTAATTGCACTGGACAACGATAAGGCTGAAGATACCCAGAGGGGCGTTCCCAACAAGAGGTACTTGCACTGGTGAGACTTAATTCCAGAGGGGCTTTTCCAACGAGAGGTACTTGCACTGGTTTAAGTCTGCCTTTGCTGCGGCTTGCAGCGCAATTTATATTAATTTATTGCTGAATTGCAATAAACATTCGATCGAATCGGCAATTAAATTAATAAGGTTGAATACCGGGTCCTCCTTTCCTAAGCAGCTAGTTGACATATGCCCCCCCTCCATGAAGCATTGGACCCCAATGCTTGGAAGAGACACTTACAACAAAATATATACAAATACCATAATAATGTCAAAAAAATACAATAATATCCTTATCCTAAAAATATCCCTTCTTTACAATAATAGCCTAATTATAAAATATCCCTGATGCTTAACAATTATATAATCCAAGTATAGCGTATAGAGAAAAAAATTAAAAATTAAAATTAACAAAAGTTTTTTATGGTGGGATGGGTGAGGGTGCATTATTATTCAGGTTACTACAAAAAAAATAGCTTACAACTAAGAAATTTCATCAACTTCACCGCTTCAGCCATGGGTTTTTTTGTTCTGGTCCGGTCCTGTTTTCTGAATTGTGGGTCTGTTCTGGTTCCAAATACTTCTTGGTAGGTCAGCTAGATCGTGGGGTGTACAGTCCCACGCCACGGTCTAAGTGTCGCTTCCTGGTTTGTTATGCTTCTTTCTTGTTCATTGTGCTGTATTCTGTCTTTCAAGTGGATTGGTTCTGGCTTCAAGTACTTCCTGGTGATTTGGTCATCTGGGTCGTGGGTTTGCGCGGTCCCACGGCCCAAGTAATCCTTGATCATTTCTTTTGTGAGTGTGGTGGAAATGGTACTGTGGTCTGTCTACTTTTGGTCCAAACCCATTTGTTTCTTCTGGTTTGAAGTTTCTAGCCCCTGCTCAGTCCAGAGCTAGGTCCTTCTATTACAATGCGTTCCCTCGAATTTGTTTAGTGGTTCGTCCCTGGCTAATCGTTGTGTATATACATGCAAAAAAAATAAATGTTTAATATACCAAAAAAAAACTTATTCCTATAATTAGTTTAATTATGACCCACATTCGGGCCACCAAATTTCATCATTTGGTTATTTGTTGATCATGGCTCCAACAGGTAAGTTTAGTCCAACTTGTTTTTTGTATACCCATATGCCTTCTTTTTGCAGCTCGTACTTTTCTAAAATCCCTTGGGCGGCTTCTTCCGTCGATAAGAATGTTTCTGATTCTTCTTTCATAGTAATTCATATTCTCTATCTTCCCATAGAATTATGAGGTCATCCACTAGTTTCCTCTTATATTGAGCTGTCATTCCTCTCCATCCCTCCTTGTTTACTCTATGTAATCTCTTACTCTATTTTTTCATCCTATCTCTACTTCCTATTTCCCTACTTCATAATTTTGCTTATGTTTTATCTGTATAATCAGTCTTCTTCTTCCTCGTTTTCTGCTTCACTGCTTCCAATTTCTTCTTCAATTTTTTCTTCGTCTTCTTCATCCTCATCAACTTCAGATGCTGCGTTTTCAGCTATATCTGTCTCATCTGCCCTTTCTTCAATAGGCGCAGCTTCTGTCCATGGATCGTAGTAGGGCAACATCCTACTCACGTGGACCGTATCCTTTTTTCTGCTTCCAATCTTTTGTACCTCGTAATTCACTTCTCCCATTTTTCTAATTACTTTGTATGGTCCAAACCATCTTAAGAGTAACTTTTCGCTTCTTCCAACCTTTCTAATTGGTATGAAAACCTTAACTTTGTCTCCAACTACGAAATCTAATTCTCTATGTCGTTCGTCAAAACGTCCCTTATCTTTTCCTTGTCTTTTTCGTATATTTTCTAGTGCTATGGCTCTTATTAAGAGTGCCTTTTCTCTAATTTGCAGAGCGTCCGTTTCGTTGTCAGCGTCCAACAATGCAGCTTCTGCTGGTAGTGTGGGTTCCCTTGCATATGTTAACATAAATGGGCTAAATCTCGTTGTGTCCTGTATTGCTGTATTATACGCAAATGTTATAAATGGTAGATAGCTACACCAGTCTGTTTGCTGTGTGTTACAATACATGGATAACATGTCAGCTATTGTCTTATTTAGCCTTTCAGTGAGACCATTACAACAAGGATGGTATGCGGTTGTAAATTGGCTTCTTACTCCCATTAATTTTCCTAATTCCCTTACTAATTCCGATTGAAAAACTTTTCCTCTGTCGCTGAGCAGATTTCTTGGCATCCCGTGTATTAAGAATACTTTTTCTAGTAAAAAATTTGCAACTGGTCCGGCTTTTCCATTCGGTAGGGCGGCTGTGATGGCATATCGTGAGGCGTAATCGGTAACTACAACTATCATTGTTTTTCCTTTACTGCTTCTTCTAAATGGGCCTAAAAGATCAATTCCGATTTTGTCAAAAATTGTTCCCACCGGTATTGGTTGTAACATCCCTGGCGTTTTTCTGTAAGGTTGCCCCTTTCTTTCTAGCTTGACAATCTGGGCATCCCTTAACGTACTTTTCGATGTCCTTAAGCATTCCATCCCAAAAAAATCTGTTTTTAATTTTGTCCGTTGTTTTGCTATCCCAAGTGTCCACTTGTCGGTGATGCATGTAGCTCCCACATAATTTCTTCTCTCATTGATTTTGGTACTACTAATACTTTTTCTAGGCCGTTTTTTGTCTTATTAATTTTATAGAGTAAGTCTTTTTCAATCCTAAAATTTTTTGCTCTTCTTCTGATGCCAATATTAATTTCTGGGTCGTCTGGGTTTCTTATAGCTTCGAATATTTGTTTTAGACTTGGGTCTTTTTCCTGTAATGTAGCCGTTTGCATTGATTTTAGTGTGAACGTGGGGAGCTCCTCTTGCTCTTCTTTTTCCTCGGATTCTGGTTGAAGCACTGGATTGCGGGACATACAGTCGGCGTCGCTATGTGTTGATCCTTTTTTATATACAACCGTGTAATCAAATTCTGCAAGTTTTAGTGCCCACCTGGCCAAGCGTCTGTTACTTTCCTTAATGGAGTCCATCCAGCAAAGAGCATGATGGTCAGTGACGATTTTTACTGGTCTGCCGTAAATTAAGTGTCTCAGATAGCTCAATGCCCACACTACGCCTAAGAGTTCTAATTCACTAATTGAGTAGTTCTTTTCGCTATTTGAAAGTACTGCCCCAATTCCACATGTTGCTGCGTCGGTGTGCAAAATGGTATCTTTATTTGGATTGAAATGCTGTAGCACAAGTGCGGAAACCAGTTTTTCTTTAAGAATGTTGAATGCTTTGTTTTGTTCAGAACCCCATTTGAACCCTATGTTCTTTCTTGTAACTTCATGTAGCGGTCTTGCTATTGATGCAAAGTTATATATAAATTTTCTATAAAAATTACATAATCCTAGAAAGCTCTGTACATCTTTAATTTTCTTTGGCGTCGGGAACCCTT